GGTGCTAGTGCTGGGGCAGCCACATTTGTCTTAAAACGTTGTGTTAATATAGCTTGATTGTCCAGTCCTCTGTACAGACACAAGTTGGGCCAACTTTTGAGGTAGGAAGTGCAAGCAAAGGTGGAAGCGGGGCAGAACTGCTTCTGTCAGAGTCTGTGCCACTTCATTGTCTTCTTTAAGTGACTCTGAAACATGGTCTGCAGTGCTCCAAGGAAAGGAGCTTACATGAAGCAATCACCCACAACTGGGTGCTCTAAGCCACTTCACCGCATCTGAGCCTCTGATGGTAAATGCTGGAGATCCATCGCTTTTTGCAAACATGGCCTGAACACAGATTTCTAAGTTAAATGCATCAAAACCCATGTTTGAACTTTTTGCTTTGGCTGCAAACTAGCTCACAGTATCTGAAACTAGTGTGTGAACTTTGGCTTGCCTTTGGTATCCCAGGACAGTGATGTTGCTGGAGATGATGACATTATTGTGGTCTGGACTTAATCTGCCTCACATTCATCTCAGGAATCCAGCTTGCAGTTATCTTCCATGCCCTGGGTTCAAAGCAACACCTGTCTTCCAAGCAGGGTTTAAAAGTGAAGTATCAAATAGCATTTCCCTCATTTTCTTCGTTGAGTGAAATGCATGTTGAATAATAGCCAGATACTCATCTAAAAGCAAAGTGTCATTATAACTGATTCCAGACTTGTACTTTCTGCCTTACTCCAGCTTGTACCTTTGCTTACTAACACCAGAAGACCTGATTCTGCTTGTCTTGTAGATGTGCACTCACATTAACTCACATGAGACAGAGATCAGACCCTGAGTCAGAAAAGGACATGCTTAATGTATATGTAAACCGATCCATCCCTACATCTCCACTAAGTACACACAACTGTCCCATCACTTTAAAATTTCATCCTGGTCACCTGTGCTTTGTTGAAGCAGGACCTTAATGACTTTGAAGCAAAGGGGAGTAGCAGTGGATAAAAAGAGGAGCTTCACTTTTTGGTTGCATGCAGGCACTGCTGTTAGGTAGGTCTCTCCCCTCCAGCTAGCCTATGTCTCATTAATTTTTTGATGTATTTAAATGAGGTGGCTTTAACCAGTTCCTGCTGCCTCGGGCATAACTGTGATCCACACAGTAGGTGAAAAGGTGAAGAAGTGGGTACAAGCAGCATTTTACAGCATCACTTCTGCTGCCGGTGCGATTACTCATAGCAGGCTTGATTGTTTGCCAGTTGTTCGGAGGTGTTTTCTGGGTTTTCTTCATAATTTATGAAGAGATGCCTTAGTGTCGGGGTTAGAAAAATCTCACTTTCAAGTCAAAGTCAAAGGTTTTTCACTTATCAGATTAGACAAGGTCTGCCTCATTAGATCACTTTCAGGTTTCCAAGTTACAACCGTGGTTCTGATGTATTTGGATTCCTTAAAGATTCCTCAAAGGAAATGCAAGTACCTCTTTTAAGATCATTTATGTACATGGAAAGCATTTATGAATTGTGACGCGAGGAAACACAGACTATTTTATTATTTATTCAGTTCATATATCAGATCTTTTGCCAAGAACATGCTA